CACATCTAATTGATGAAGAGGCCAAGAGTACTCCGCAGCCAGAGAAATAATCAACCGAACAGTAGTCAATTTTGCCACGGGGGCAAATGTAGCACCAAAATCACGACCTGGTACCTGAGTAAAGCCTTTCGCCACAAGTCTAGCCTTGTAACGATCAATAGTACCATCCGTAAGAAACTTCAAGGTGTAAACCCAGCGACAGCCAACAGGCTTCACCCCTTAAGGTAAGGAGACAAGATCCCATGTATGATTACGCTGAAGAGCGTCCATCTCTGTCTGCATGGCAAGAACCCACTGGGGCTCCCGCATAGCTTCCGAAATAGAGCGAGGAACCGGCGTATCTGATAAGGCCATAGTATAAGCTCAAAATGTGGGAGATAGATCACCATAAGAAACATAAGCAGAGATCGGATATAAAATCTTGGCGGTCCAACCATATCGATCAACTGGATGACGATCACGCCTTGGATAACGACGCCCTAAATCACCATCCTCTACTGATAATGTCTTATCAGGTAAAGTAACTGGCTCAGCACCTGCAATCTCATCAGTACTAACAACAGGTGCATCAATATGCTCAACAAACTGAGAAGTATTACCTGTATCGCCTGAGGTAGAGGGGATATCAGCAGGGTGATGAGAGCGAGGACGACGAACATACACCTGCAAAGGAAGAGAGACTGGTAACTCTGTACTGACAGGGATAAGTGACTCCTTTGGAGGAAAAACGGATGACCCTGTAGGGATAGTGATCAATGACTCTGACTCTTGTGGTAATGGAAAATCAAAGGGAGTATCATCAACTGGAGGGGCAGACAAAGGACTGAAAGGAAAATAAGGAATATGCTCAAGAAAGGTAACATCTAGACTGTGATACATACGACGCCTAATAGGATCATAACATCGATACCCCTTAGATTGATGACAATAGCCCACAAAGATACAACGAATCGCTTTATCATCAAGTTTATGACGAGTAGGAGACCGATCCTGAACAAAACATGTGCATCCAAAAACACGAGGGGGGACCGGAAAAAGTGTCCGCTCAGAAAATAAGACCTGTAAGGGAGCCTTATGCTGAAGAACACGACTCGGCGTACAATTGCACAGAAAGGTAGAAGTCAAAACAGCAAAATGCCAATAAGATTTTGGTACCCCATGCCTCTAAGCAGACAACGTACCATCCCTATCAAACTCCTATTTTTCCTTTCAGCAACACCATTTTGCTCAGGAGTATATGGACAAGTGAGTTGTTGAAGAATACCCTGAGAAGAAAGGTGAGACACTAAAGCATCAGACACATATTCTTTGACATTATCCGAACGAAGAGCACGAACAATGACATCGAATTGTGTCTTAATCATCTGTAAAAACTGAGTGATTATAGGGAGTACATCAGACTTCCTATGCAAAAGGTAGACCCAAGTACAACGGGTATGATCATCTATAAATGTCACATAATATCTGGCACCTGACAGAGCAGTAACGGGAGAGGGTCCCCAAATATCAGAGTGTATTAGATCAAATGGCTTGGGTGACTGGTGCATGCGAGAAATATAACTGGCCCTAACATGTTTCGATAGGGAACAAATAACACAATCAAGTTTACCACCAACACAAGCATTGCTCAAAGCAGGAAACAACATACATAAATATGTAAAATTTGTATGTCTAAAACGGTCATGCGACAATTGAACAGTTTGTGACGAAAAATCATAACGACAACTACTAGGTAAAATACTAGCATGCAAGCTAGGAACAGAAAAAGACAAAGCAGGTGCAGGTGAAGGAATTGGTGAAACTGGAGATGGATTGCCAAGATAATATAGTCCATCTTTCTCATGTCCCTTGATAATAATCCTCCTGGTATTCAGGTCCTGCAAATAACACGAATTAGATAAGAATACAACCGCACAGTGAAAATCTCTGGCTAACTGATGTACAAATAATAGATTCATGGCCAACTTTGGCGCATGAAAAACTGAATGTAATGTAAGGCCATCTGGGAGACGGACTGTACCCCTACTAACAATAGGGGCATGTGTTCCATCTGCTAACTGAACCTGTGTATGTAACGGCTCGTCAAAAGTGGTGAAGTGATAGGCCTCACCTGTCATGTGACCGTTCGCACCCGAGTCCAACATCCAAAGGGGAGAAGAACTGGCACAAGCGTGAAAGGCACGAGATATACCTGTAGTGGTGACAGCAGCAGTAGTCAGACTCTGAGAAGTCAGAGTAGACATAAGTATATCTAATCGGGAAGTGATAGCATCCATATCACTTTGCCAAGGAGGAGCAGCAGCAGGAGTGACAGTAGTGGGCGGTGGTACCTCAGCAATAGCAACAGTACGGCTGCGAGAAGGTGGCTTAAGCTCTGGATGGAGCTTCCAGCAAGTAGCCCTGAGATGTCCTGGTCGGCCACAATAATCACATTGACGGGAATTCCCCCGTCTGCGCTGATCTGGGGCGCCCTGACGGCGCTGGTCTGAGCGTTGCCCATCCCTGACTGAGGATCCTGAACGGGACCCTACAGCAGCTGCAAGGGCCATCTGGTCAATCGAAGGAGTCAAAGTTGCAACTGAAAGTGATGCAATACGGACTCGACGCTCATGCTGCTCAATCATCCCATACACCTCATAAAGAGAAGAAAGTGTCAACATCGACAAGATCTGAGAACGAGGTCCCTCAAACTCATCACGAAGCCCCATAAGGAACTTGTGAATCCTATCCTCCTGCTCTCGAGTATGCAAGAATGCTGCTCCCTCGGGCTCTATCTTTGGAATAGCAACAAGAGGACGTAGAGTCTCATACTCAAGCCAGCGCTGGGTCAAATAGCCATAATAATCCTGAACGGTCATATCTCCCTGCCGAGCATATGAGAGCTCCTGAGAAAGCTCATAAACACGAACTCCCCGTCCTGACTGAGAATACATCTCTGATAATGCGCTCCATAGCTTCGGAACAGAGCTATGAAACTGGTGGATCCTGCAAACAGAGGGCTCCATTGAGCCAAATAACCATCCAAGAATGACACAGTTTTCAGAGAACCACGCAGAATATCCAGGGTCGGCATGAGCTGGCTTTGGGTGAGATCCCGTCAGCCAGCCAAGCTTCCCTACACGGCCTAAGAAAAGTTGGAATGAGCGTGACCACTCAGCGAAGTTACGACCATTCAACAATTGTGCCGTAACTTTTTGAGAGATCATGCCCGGTAGTGCTGGTAATGCAACTGTGCTAGTAGGCACTGTATACTGGTCAAACAAAAAAGTGGAAGTACCCATAGATGTCTCAACGGCATAGTTATCAAATCGTGTATCGAAAGGCGTATCGTAAGATACAAATATTGTATCGTATCGTGTATCGTATCGTGTATCGTAAGATACGATGCAATTTTAAATAAATAATAAAAAAATATATATACCTTTGAAAAAAAGTCATACACTCATAAAAAATATAGCATTTCATTAATACTCCACCAACTATTCAAGTTATCAACATAATCCACTACTATTATAATGCAAAGTTCACTAATTCAAACTTTAAACACCAAAGAGACTTCTAATCCAAATTTCTAACATCCATTTTGAACTCAATCTTCAATTTCAATTGAAAATGCATCATCATCATCATCATTGTGATCGGATGCCAACAAGTCTTCACTTGTCGTTTTTTTTTAAAAAAAATCAGAGCACAAAACGACGTCGTTTTTTAAAAAAAAAAAAAAAAAAAAAAAAAAAAAAAAAATTGCACGTATCGTGCGTATCGTACCGATACGTATCGTATCGTAAAAACGTATCGTGTATCGGACGATACAACGCAAAAACGATACATAACTACGATCCGTATCGTTTTAGGGCTGTATCGTAACGTATCGTACGATACGTATCGCGTATCGTACGATACTAACAACAATGCTCAACGGTAGAGGTGTCAACAGTAGGGTTCTCAAGTCCCTCAGTAGTAGCCATATCAACAACAATACTAGGGCACCCGTGACAGAAAAATAACTCTAAGATAAATAGAGGAATAAAATAAGGGAGAACAATATACCTTCAGTCGAACAGTAACGACAAATAAAGAAGGTAAAAAAAAAAAAGGCTCCCAAATAATCAGGTCACGGTGCCCAGAAATCCAAAATATATAAATAAGTGATCTACTGCATCAAGGGTAGATCATCGGATAAGAGGATTCATCCCCTCTTTAAAAAATCCTAGATACACTGTGATGTTGGTGGACTTGGGTATGGATTTAATATGTCGGTGGGGTATATGTTGTTTCGGCAGGCAGTGTGTGGTATATGTTGGGTATTGTGTGGGGTTTAATGAGAAAAGGTGAGGAGTTGAGGCTGTATATGTATGGCTGTTCGGTGAGAAAGGTGCAATCGGCTTTGGGTACCTTACTTCGGTTTTGTCGGCTGGGTTTGATGGGAGTTATGGCAGGGCAGCTGGCTGTCGGTGGAGTTGCTGGTTTAATGAAGTGGAGGCAGTCGGTGGATGATGGGTATGTTTTGGGTATACGTTCGGTGGAGCTGCTGGTTTAATCTGGCAGTTATGTTGCAGTCGGTGTAGGTGTGGTGGCTGGTGGCTGCAACGTGGAGAAGAGGTTAGGGTTAGTGTTAGGGTTGTGGCTCTGATACCAACTTGAAATATTTGTGAGTGAAAAGGGATACTCAAATTAAGAGTAGAGCCCCGTATATATATCCAAAAATAATACAGAGTGACTTAAACATCCTTGTAGTTTAGGCAAAATATAAAAATCATAGTAAGAGTAAAAAAGGGAAAAGAAATCCTAATAAACTAGACTATCTATACTCCAACAGTTTCCACCTAATAATCATGTTTCATAGTCCATTGAGCAAGGCTCTTGTCATCATAATGGCTCCCATTCCTCCAATCCCCTTCTCCTGTGAATGGGTTTTTGTTTTGGGAAGGGGGGCCCGGGGGGTGGAGGTGTAATTCTTCTTCGGCTTAAGGTTAGTGCTTACACAACTGTTGCTGCAGGGAGAATATTCCCAGCATTCCAGGAGTCAACAACCAGCATAAACAAAATAAATTTGTTCCCTTGTCTGAAGGTGTAACTGCGTGTACTGTTCATCCCCTCAATGGCACCATTGTTGCTGGAACCAAGGTTTGTTTATTTTTGAGGACTGATTGAGAAGTTGCCAATTTTGTGTAATTTGCTGTTTTGACTGATAATTTGCCAACCATGCTGCATCAACTTGAATTTCATGCACCATTTCATCCAAGAAGCAAATATTTAACAGAAGTAGTTCTCTTCAATTTATTTTATTTATTTTGCTATTTCCTGCCCTCATAACCTATAGACTTCAGGGATTTGATTCTTCACCAGTAGGTGTAGCACATTCTCCGTGTACCCATGTCCACATGAACACATGTATGCTTGCGCACCACCTGCGCACATTTTTTGGTTACCCATGCCCAGATTTGGAAATTGCTTATTTGAGGTTGCTGCGTCCCTTAACTAATCGAAGACAAAAAAGTCGGACCAAAATCACAGTTAAAGAAGTCCACTGGGAGTGAAAGCGTACCCCAGTTCAAAGATGGTTCAGTCAATTCAAATAAAGCCAGGGCAAACTTAAAAGATTGTGGGCATGTCTAAAGTTAATATTTGGTTCAATAGGTCTATATCTGATACAGTAAGTCAAAACCTGATAAAATTTTTGAATATTTACATTAAAATTGTCTGAATGATGGTGAAATTGACAAGAAACACATAGGTATTTGTGATTTAATAAAACATATGTTTTGCTTGTGATATGAACCCATTGTTTCGGAATTCAGGTTTTTTCACCTCTTTTGGTCCTGCAGAATCATATAAGTGACAATGAGATGATTAGCATAACTGTCATGATAATTAGTTTCTAATATAAAATGCACTGTCCATCCAACGCTGCAACACATAGATATTTGTGATTTAATAAACCATAAGTTTTGCTTGTGATATGAACTCATCGTTTCAGAATTCAGGGTTTTTCACCTATTTTGGTCATGCAGAATCAGTGTTTATCCTACAAGTGACCATGAGATGACTAGAATAACTCTCATGATAGTTAGTTTCTACTAAAAAAACCGATGTCCATCCAACGCCATTTATGTATCACCTCTTCAATGTATTTATCTTCTTTTTTGAAAGAAAGGGAGGCTAAGTTGTAAAATTGTTGATTGGTTTTAGCAAGCATCACTGCTATTGATCTCCCAGAAGCACATGTCATTCCAAGGCAGAGGCAGTTCTCTGGGTTCTGACGAAGATTGTAAGAAGCCAGAGCCCAGTTTCAAAAACTTATTTAGTGACGGCATGCCCAGATTGGCTTGAATTGGAGAAGAATTGCATAGGTTGAGTTAAAGTAGGTTGTTGCAAAAGAGATTGTGATCGGGGCTTTGCATAGACAGATGCAATCAGTTGAGCACATCAACTTTGGAACAAAGGTTTACATTCTAAGACTGGGGGCATTGAAAGTAGGGGAAGAGATGTGCCAGTATGTCGGGGATACAAGGGGATACAAGGGTATGCAAGAAGGCAAGTTAATGTGCTATTCTGTGCATTAAGTTCAACCGAGAGATGTGAAGTTCAATTTTGTACTTGACTGAATAGACAGGTATTACTATTGGAAATTGCTTCAGTCGAACGATCAATAATCAATCTTGTTCTGAGAAATTGCTTCATACAATCTTGTGTCTTTTAATAGATCAAACACCTATTAATAATCAATCTTGTGTCTTTGCCTGCTTGCACATGTGTCCATTTCGTTTATGGTTCAATATGGCTTATCAACGATTACATGTGTAATTTCTTATTATCTATTAGCGTATGGAAATCTAGATATGCACGCTTCATAATTATTTTTGTTATTGTTACTTTTTGCTTTTTTAAGACCATAAAAATAGAAGTAAGAAGTGTTTTAAATATGTTTACAAAACTTTTTATTTCTTCTTTGTTCTTTTTTTGTTTGTTCCTTTTCTTAAGCTTATTATTACGTATGGTAGTATGAATAGGTACAAATATACGTATGTTCTTTATACATCAAGATACATGTATCTATTAGGTTTGATAAATACCTACCATTATTTTTTAACTTGTGCTCTTAAGCATAAAGCAGAAATATGAAAAATACTATTTTTAATGTAAGAAATACTTGAGAAATCCACAAGGTCACCCACCACACATTGACCTCATCTACCTATGTTACCTATCTAAAGCACTTAAAAGCCACTGGAGAAGTATACGAATGTGGCTTCCTTTTCCAGTAAGTCTGTACAAACAATTGCAGGTTGTTACTCGGCATAACTAGCAAATAGGATGTTAAACAGGAGCAACTTGGAGCAAGAACCAACTTGGTTCAAAGAATTCAACATTGTTCACTTTAAAATCAATGTGGACGACATTGGATGTGATTAACTTGATATAGATTTACTTGGAAGATCGTATGGTTATTAATCTTTTCCTCACCATGGGTGCGAGAGAGGGAGAGAGATTGTCACGCTTTGGGTAACGAATGATCTGGTTAATGACTATCCCTAAATGAAAAATAATCAAATTTTTAATCACTTTAACTCTTGGGAGGAATGAAACTATTTCATTTCACCAATAATTAGTAAATAAACAGGGCAATTGAGGTTTGAAGCCAACATCACCCACTACAAAACCAAAATAATGCAATAGGAAGAACAAGGCCAAGATCAAACAAGAAATATATAGACAAGAAAACTCAAACAGAAAAAAGACTTCAAATACCACCATGTCAACAAATAAAAAAAATAAAAATAGAACAATGCTATTAGGACATAATTTGGTATCATAGGTTCTTAGGCAGTTTGATTTTCCATTGGATTTGTGAGGGACATTGGTATTTATTCGAGCAGAATGTCTTTATTGGGAAAAGTACACTTTTTCCCCCTCAATTATGGGCTCAATTTTTATTGTCTCTTGAGCTATTAATTTTTCACATTGCCTCATCAACTATTTGAATTATTTCATATTTCTCCAAACACAAATGTCCGTTATTATTTTGGTCAAAAATTATCAACATGTTGGGACAAAGTGAAAAAAATTAAATTTTAGAGAGAAAAATAAAATAAACTTTTATTGAATTTTTAATTAATATGAATAATTGGGGCTATATAAAACTAAGTACAAAGTTGAAAATACAATATGAAAAACATAATTGTTGAGGGACAATGTGAAAAAAATATTATAGTTGAGGGGTTAAAATATATTTTGCCCTTAGTCATATTTCTTACAAAGACTCACATAGTGTTCATGAGCTTTCATCGTGGTAAAATGAGCACTAAGATAATTCCATATCCCAATTTTTTTTTTAACTGAATCCATCACTGTTGAAACAATTAATATTTGAATTATATGCCCTAATACTAGCCATGTATTCATCTTTGATAACACTCCCATTGTTTTCCAGATAATTTTACGGCTAGTTTTCAAAATTATTAGATTTTTAGAATTGCAAAAGTTTCTTCCATCGAAAATTTTATTAAGCTGAGGAGTATATTGCAGTTGAAGATTCTCTTTTGCGTCTTCTTTGAGAATTGATGCAGGACTCCCACCTCTGAACCTACCCTTTTCCCAGTGAGACCGTGTAATAGAACTATTATGTATGCGATAAAATTTTGGATAGTTGGAGCCTCTTGCACAGTTTCCAAATAATTTTACGGCTAGTTTTCAAAATTTTTAGGTTTTTAAAATTTTATTAGTTTCCTCCATCGAAAAATTTATTAATAGTACCCCAAAACTTTCAAATTTTTTTTTTTTTTACCACAAATCAATCAAACTCTCTGTACCACACCATGTGTGACCTAGGGATAAACAAAAAAAAAATGGCATTGACCCCGTACTACTACACCGTTACTCTTGAAAAATCAATATTTTGAATAACAACAAAATAAGCATGGTTAATGACGACGACTACTAGTGAATTTTTATTTTGTGTTCACACAACTTAAAACTCCACAAACTAGTCATAGCATTGTACATTTTTCTATGACCGATTGATCGTACAATCACTGCTTATAAAATGCTATATACAGATTATAAGACATTTGAGGGTCCGTTAGAACCAAAAAAGGAGAATTGTAACAATTCAATGACATTAAATATGACTACAAAAAAATAAGATCAATCATAAAATATTTAGATCGATCTTACAAACTCTCATTTTGTCATAATATCACTAGCTTGAGTTGTGATTTTAGTCTGTATACATAAAACAATCAATTTCTTGGGGAGGGGGGTTTGAGAAGTTTTTACTCCTAATTTTTTAATTTTTAAAAATTTGAATTATTAGATTTCTCATCCTCCAATTATATTCTACTAAATTTCTCAATTATCTTAAATAATTACATATCAACCCACTCTAACCATTTCTTATTTAAAATTTATTTTAAACATCAAATTTGAAATTTAAAATTTCCACCAAATTTTTAGTACCTTATAAAATAATGAGAGAGAGTAAAAGGTGAAGAAGTGATTGAAAAGGGAAGGCTATGGCCCATGCATTTGCACGGTCGGATGCTTACTCTATATACCTTTCTTTCTGTGTTTGCACTTGCTCCTCCACAAAACTTTCACCTGATGCCATTGGCGACCTTAACAGATGGATGGCGATCCCCATTGTACAGAATCGCAAGTGTCAACACAGTAGAACTGACGACTCAAATTTATTTTCACGCAAAAGGTTTGCCTAATTCCCATTGGCCACTTAAACAACGCATGTGGTGGATATGGTCCACACCTTACAGATTGGACATCGCTCCTCGTCCATATTCATCTCGGGTGAATCACCAGTAAACGCGTGCACACCGTTCCCAAGAAGGGATTGCCATGTGACACTCTCTGGCTGCCACCACCTGCCACTGTCTGAAAAACAGCTGACACACTCTATAGGCACGGGTAATCACACACCAGCTATCAGGATTACTTAAGCCAGACTCAACAGTATACGCTTAATGATAATTAATGGAAATATTAGTAAATTGAATCAGTATATTAGAGGATTGCGATCGAGTCCTGTGTTCGAAGTTCGGTTTTCGGAGTGCAGCAACTGTATGGCTTTTGTCATGTCAAATGAAACTCCTGGTAAGGGATCGGTGTGGTTCCAAACGAACTATGCCTAAGTTAGTTTAGTAGGTTTTGTTAAGAATTGCTTACGAATTGTAAGACATTTATGTAGAGAGAGAGAGAGGTAAAGAGTCTTTTTCTCCTCTTCGTTACCTACCTTAAGCCGTCATTTATGAGGATTTTTATAGTGAGGGCAGAGTGTGATTTTAGTTTAAAGAGTAATGATTAAAAATAATTATGTATGGTTGAGTACGTAGAAAGCTAACACCATGCAAGAGCTTTTATCACTGACATGTGTCACTTGCTCTAAAGCTATGTATGGTGTCAAGTGTGTGATGCCAAGTGTCAGTTTTCTTCTGACTGGATTCATGTAGATAGTGACTGACACATCTCGCTCATTCTTCTAAGTTGGGGCCGAGGAGAGACCTCTTGCACGATCTCCGACAAACGAGGTCTGGGCTATGTCCATTAGTAGCCTCCCGATTCCTTATGATCCCTGAGGTCATTGAGAATTTTACTTGGTGGGTTTACATCCTCGGAGGTCGCTTCTGACAGTTGTGATGATTAGTCCTTTTGAATTTTCTTGGACTTTGGATTGATTGTTTTTGGCGCCTTTTCAAATTTCGAGAATGATGTATTTATGACATACGTTGTCTTTTCAAGTTACGTACGTTGACTTTTAACCGTAGCTATGTGTCATAACCATTTGACATTCCTCAGACTCTTATGCTCCCCTCCATTGGATTGAATGAATCTTTTTCCTTGGTGGTGGGTATATATTCCTTTCCTCATCTTCGTATTTTCCTTTTTCCTTTCTTTTTGGGTTTTACTATGTTGGCTTTCAAATTTCATGGGAGAGTTTCTTTAGGCATTCTTTTTCTTTTTCTTTTTCCCCTTTATGAACATCGAACCCATATTGGTATATAGTGATATTGAGTCAGACAGCATTGTCAACCCATATAATCCTCCGAAGTCTTCTGATAAGTTTCTTCTTGAAACCCCTGATTTTCGGTGATTGCTCCTCCTACAGGGTGTGTTTGGCAAGTCATGGGTGGACTGGACTAGCTTGGATTTAATCCCAACCTAGTCCAATGAAATCCCAATGGGCTGGATATGCTAGGGGGATAAAAGGAAATTGTGTTATCCAATCTCAGGTTTGAATAGTGCATTACAATGTGGTTGAGATATGGACAAATTTTAATTTTTTATTAAACATCTAATACTTTTGACATGAATAGACCATT